ACGGCTGACACTTGTTGTAGAAAACCTGCAGTGTTGCACGCATATTTAACAAATATGACTCATACAATATGACTCACATCATGTGCAGCGAACAAAACACATGTTCAAGTGATTTTAGTCTGGTTAGCACGCTGAGCGAATTGTAGCTTTACCTCACGTATATACGAAGAAAGCATCCGTGGTAGGTGATCAATAAGCTTTCTTGATGGAATTGCCATCCCAAAGCCATGTCTAGTCAACCCGAGCTGGAACTATATATCACAAAGTAGGAACTGACATCTTGCAGCATGACCCCACCACCAGGTAGAGAGTTGCCACAGGACAGGGTGATGCACCGCGGGGAAGGGGAAGTTGGGGGGCCGCACTTGGAACCTGGTTTAGCGGCACATTCGCCGAGCAAAGTCAACGCGTCTGGACGGCTAAGAAAGAAAGCGCTCAGTTGGCCGACGCTACCAATCGTGACATGGCACAGTGCCACCAAAATGACACGTTCTTCCCGGCCTGCGACCTGGGGCTGCCAGGTCTGGAAAACCAACACCTCACAAATCCCACGCTCTCCGTCACCCAGTCCATCATGGGACTGTACATTTGGCGCATAGAGCGCTCTTCGCCAAAACAAATCTGTTTAGTAATGCAACAAACATACATTCATCCCTGTGGCCCCTTTGAACTTAAAACGAACTAACCATGTAAAGCAAGTTATGTCTCAAACTCACATGTTTGAAAATGCGTCTGCTCCTTTGGTTGCATGTGACAAAACGTCTTCAAGCTCTATGCACATTGCACCGTGTTGGGTAGATGTTCTAACATAACATCTTTACCCTGTTGCCACCAAAAAAACATGGGGCTCTGACAGCATTGACTCATGGAATTCATGCCAGGCGCCATGGGGCGCATGACGGGCCCAGTTCCAAACAGAGTTGAGGGTCTGCCAGGTCTGCCCCAAAACAACTATATATTGGAAAAGTATCAATTCAGACGGAAGGTAACCCAGGTCCGTTACTAGGATTGTGCAAGTGACATCGCTACACATCAACGTCTGCCACATACATGGAATCTGGATCGGGGTATGTTCCGCACCTACCCCTGTCAGACTGAGCATGTCCTTTGACTATGGCATGGCATCAGACTGGGGGCCTGACAGTCTGCTAATCTGAGCTCTTGACAGCTCCCCAAAATAAGTATTAATATCTTTCTTGCTTTCTATCTTATTCCCTTTATGGCCATTGTAAAATTATATGAACAAATCATGGCCTGAGTAGCAAGGACGTTCCAATTCTACCAAACATGGCAGGCTGTGTCAATTCAATTTGTTTGTCAGGTGGCGACATTGTTGTGCTGTGAACTTCTCACATATGTCCTTTGATCTCAAAATCACAGCAAGTACACTCTGTAAACACAGAACAACAAAATAGAAAACCGCAAAGAAACAATTCTCTGGACAGCACGCTGACGGTCTGATTGTAAACAACACCTGCTAGGGCGCTATAGTAAACGTGCGCAGTTGCAAACACGTCAAAAACGTGGAAATCAACAAAATAAATAAACCGAACGACCTTAAGGGTTGATTCCGTTGCCGATGTGTGTTGCATCAGCAGCGTAGTGCCTGCGCGCTGCGTGAGAAACACCTTTATGATCCTTTATGTTCCTTTATGGCTTTATGGATGTCACTCGGGACGATTTCAGCCAGTCCGAAGTTTAGCCACTTCACAATTACACTCAGCGCAAAAGCAAACTTCACAGTACTGGCACAGTGGTGCCACCTCCATCACAAAGTGCAGTCTGTTTCCCTCTGCACCAACATGCCCTCCATCAACAACTTTCCACGGTAGGGCCAAGCAACGTCTTTCAGTGCGACATATCTTCTAAGTGACCAGGCTGTCCTACACCCAATAGATTGGTTAGACAATGCACTGTCAAGTAACTGATGGACAAAATCTTCTCTGGGGTTTCTCACGCCCTTGGTCGCTGTGCTATTGGGATTGGCGTTTGCACGGCGCGGGGTGTGTTTTGGAGGTGTTGGACGTCGCTGCGCCATTGGAATTTACGTTTCAGGCTATTGAGTGCGCGGAGGGCGTGATCACAGATGTTGCCCATGATCATGGTGATAGTGATGATCATGATGGTGATAAGGGCCACTAAAAGTAGTGTTCAAACTCACTCACTCACTCACTCACTCACTCACTCACCACGATCTCCACCTTCATCACCACCATCACCTCTCTGGACCCCAATGCCGTCTGGATCTCTAGACTTTCTGCCACTACACCTCTAGACCTCACACACATACTGTTTGGTGTCTCTTGCCGGAATAACATTTTTTTGGTGGTTGAACAACCAAAAAACAAAACTCCTAAACACAGTGAACCTGAGAAGCTGCAAAACGAAAGCCAGCGTGATTTTGTCACGAGCGTTGGAGTGTGTCACGCTCAGATCTCAACATGTCCAGTATGCCGTGTCAAGAATCTGAACTTCAATGAGATGTGGATCCTCTCATGTGTCTTGAACTGAGTGACCACTTGCAAAGCTCCAGGAAGCCAGTGTTTGAAAGGTTCAAATTTGTTTCAAGCAAATTGCAGTGATTTGGTGGATGTTGGCACCAAGTCACCCAGTGGATCCAATGATGTCGGCAACCGATGGTGGAACATACTTAATATATTGTTACTATTATTATTGTTATTATCTTAGGGCCTCTAGGTCCTTCCTTTTGGAAGGTCTCTTCAAGAATATGGATCCAAGGTCTGAAAACCTGGTTTGTCATGAAAGGGACGTATTCTGACAACCGACCCGTATTTTTAAGTATCAGCTTTGGTCAGGAAGAGCGATTTTGTCAACTCTGTCGAGTGGCGACTCCTGGCAGTAACACCCTGGGTCCGCGCGCGCGCGCGCGCGCGCTCGCCTTGTGGGCGCCCACTCGACCGTAGAGGAGGGCGCGCGCGCGCGGACCCAGGGCAACGGAAAGGGTTCACGCAAATAGGAAAAGCACTGAGACCCCATCCAAACATCGACCTTGTTGTAGCGGCAAAATGGTTCTTTTTAGGAGGGGCCTCTTATCCATGTACAGTCATCATGACTCTTTCAGGGAGTCACAATCTCTTGCCCAGCACAAGGATAGTTTACACAGGATAGTTTGCACCGAAAGAAGGGATTGCGATCGAATATCCAATGATCCAGTGATGGTGCACTTCAAGTTCCCTCTCCAGTCTCATACGTGCTTTGAGCTTGTACAGGTGTGTCGGAAGTATAGCACAAAAGCATTTATACGGACCCAAGGTAACTCAGTTCAGTAGCATGGTCTAGCACTTCCAGTTCCCTTTCCGTCAACCGCTCGATAACCTTTACACATGCACAGCAAACCACAGCTTTGAAGTCTCATTCGTGCTTTGAACTTATATTGGTGTGTGTAAGAGGTCTAGCAACATAGCATTTATACGGACCCAGCGTAGCTACAATTCTGTTCCCAGGTATCGCGCGCATGAGACTTCAAAGCTGCGGATTGCTGTGCGTGTGTAAAGGTTATCGAGCGGTTGATGGAAAGGGAACTTGAAGTACAATACCTGGTAACTGCACTATAGCTACCCAGGGTATCTAAACCTGGCAAGGTGCCAACTAGACCTTACCATTCAGATGATGGAAAGGGAACTTGAAGTACTATACCTGGCAACTGAATTGTAGCTACCCTGGCAACTGAATTGTAGCTACCCTGGGTATCTATACCTGGCAAGGTGCCAAGATGATGCAAATGATGCGAATTACATTTCTTGCATCACCACCCGCTCCAAAATCACGTCCAAAACAACCTCTCCGTCCACCCTCCTCCCCCAGCATGTGCCGAGTTTACGTGTACCTTTTATGGGCCACCCCCCCAAACCCCCTAAACTACTCACTTCGTTCGCCAAGCACAACTCAGCTGGCGCCTTCTACGAAGGCTGGCTTTCGTAACATACAATTAACCAATGAAACTTCCATATAACATGGCACCGTTCTTCTTTTGGTCATCTCAGAAAACCCTGGCCCTACTCAATTGAAAGGTGCTGTACTGGGATATGAATCAGGGCTGTCTGCTTGGGGTCACCAGTGCGACATGCCGTGTCCCGCAATGTTCACAGCTGGTACTTGGAAGAAATATTGTGTCATGGAGCAGCTTGACGGTGTCACGGCTCTTTACCTCATCAGCCTTGCCCAACAAGGAGAGTCTAGAGGAGAATCGCAAAATGCTCACCCGAACTGGCATTGCAGAAAAAATGTGATTTGTTGCACATTGCTGCGCAAGCCCTCTGTCTGCTCTAAGCCGCTCTAAACTGTATCCGCCGTGTATGCCGTGTGGCAAGTTTGGTGGATGAAACAGGCAGCATAGTGAAGGAGCCTAATTGCGAGGCCTCCAACTTAGAAGCGATGGCCTCCAACCTACTTGCTATGGCCTCCATGTATTGAGAACAGGTTGCATCTCTGGATACTCTTCAAAAGGAATGGTGTCGATTTCGGCTTTCCCAGTCCCGCCAGCTCTTGGTACCTTGAGGCCTTGAGAGGGCCCGCCCCGGACACCTGTGGTTTCTGACCATGCCGACATTCTGAGAGCGTGGAAGATATGGCCTCCAACCTAATAGCAAGGACGCTACTAGGGGCTCCTGGCCTTACTACTAGGAGCAAGAACGCTACTAGGAGCAAGGGCATCGCTACTAATAGCAATCGATCTACCCCTTTTTCACGTGGCCTCCGAAGGTACAAAATCGATGGAGCAGGTTCGGGGAACTTCAATAAGCTCCTCGGCTGACAAACTCCCAACTAGATTTGAAGAAAATCCGTTGACCAGATTGATCCACAATGTAAATACATTTTGTTGGGCGTTTTTCAGCCTCCACGCTGCTCTTTCGTTAAAGTCAAGGGACCCTTCGGGTTTCTTGACATCCAACATTGGCTACGGCTGCAAAATATTGCTGTTTAGTTTCACGCGCCACTTCTGTGGCAAGCCTCAATTTGAGTGAAACTATGTGGCCTCATCATTCCCTATCTAAGCTCCGATTTGATCTGTTCCAAGCCAAGCTCCGAGCTTTGCTGATTGTTCCCATTGCAGCTTCCCGGGAAATCACAAGCATGATCACGATGCCAAATCCAACGAACATCAAAGAGATAAAGAAACAACCCAAAACGTCGTCAGCAACCATGCCGGTGCCTTCCTTGCAAATTGGAAGAAGCAGCAAAAAAATAGAACTAGCATTCACTACTACACCAAAACCTGAAAACACAAATTGCCGTGTGCTGAAAAGAGGGTCTTTCCTTGTGGATTGGAAATCACATAGCCTTTCTGGAAATATATCGGCATGCTGCGCAATCTCTTTCTCAAACCACCCACCCTCTTGAGCGTAGGTGACTGCCCATGACAGAATGTACACAAAACGTTGGCTTATGGGGAAGGACACCGGGAGGGTATAAAGTACATCGCCAACTCTGAATAGATCACAGTATGCATTGCCTTTGGTCTCCTGGCCACTGATGTTACCACTACCTGCTTCATTGCCTGTTTCATTCGCAGTGTCAGTCTCACCCAAGAAGCCTCCTTGGATCTGATCAAAAATGTCCTGCGTCACAACCATAGCCGTGCACTCACCCCGTTCAAGCATGTGATGAAGTTTGTTGAACTGGCCTTCAACAAAGTTTGCTCCGGGATAGATTCCCTCAAAAGCCGGCTTCACTATGTCAGGCACACAAATGCGAGCATGTCTGTCAATAGCTTCGTCGATGTTTTGATACTCACCAGTGTCTGGAGGGACAATGACCAGCATGGAAGCCAAACTTGCAGTGTAACTGACCAGCGTCACAAGGATGAAAAACGAGAACGCCATCCTGAAAAGTCTGGTCCCGTAGTTTTGTGGCGCTCCAGAAAGGAAACTGTGCAACGTCTCAAACTCAATACGACATAGCGCCTGAAAGGCAGCCTTGGCCGGACCGCCGCGGAACTGCATCAATATCGTTCGCTAATTAAGCCCAAGGAACATCCCCTGACAGTCAGAAACATGTTGTGTTCTTTGACACGCTTTATATCACCTCGCAAACCATCAAGCTTCATGCTGAACCGATTAGCCTAGCTTTTTGCCGAACGGCACGAGAACCTCCGCAACGCAACCTGCTCCGGAACCTGCTCCGGAGCTTGCTCCGATCTGCTTCGTAGGCTATACGAAGACCCCTGAATGTTTAAAATCTTTCATATTTCCGAGGCCTTGGCTGTGGATATTGCTTGCAACATCTTGCAACTATACACAAAAATACACCAGAAGTACGTCTGATGAGTTGGGTCTTCCAAGAGCTCTGTACCATATGCCTAGTCATATGCCTTCACGACCAGTCCAGTGATCCAGTGATCCCCCTCTTCCTCTGCTTTGAGCCACCAATGGTGGTGAGAAGCAGGGATCCTTCTAGACGGGGCTACCTACATGCGGGGCACACATTCCTTTCACACAGTGTTATATAGATTTTTTGGGTTGGAGGCCATCGCTTCCAGGTTGGAGGCCATGGCTTCTAGGCTGGAGGCCATCGCTACATTGGAGGCCATCGCTAGTAGGCTGGAGGCCATGGCTAATACCGATGGAGGCTATCCCTTCTAGGTTGGAGGCCACGCCAATGGCAATGGCGTGCGAGGTCCGTAGAGGTCGGTGGAGACTGGTGTCCCCACCCAGTCCCTGGAGCTGAAACGATTTGAAACTAACCAAACTTCTGAAACGATTTTCCCTAGCAGTAACCATGAACATGTAGTAGCTTCTTGTTCCTAGTAGTAAGGCCAGGAGCCCCTAGTAGCTTCTTGCTCCTAGTAGGGATGCCAGGAGCCCCTAGTAGCTTCTTGCTCCTAGTAGCGATGCCAGGAGCCCCTAGTAGCGTCCTTGCTCCTAGTAGTAAGGCCAGGAGCCCCTAGTAGCTTCTTGTCAGAACAGTGGCAGTGGGTTGCGTTTTTTTGAGAAGCTTGATTCCTATTTTGGACTTGGTGTTTCAAACACACTGCAAAATCTGAAAGCACACCAAAGCTAAGCTGAAGGACTCCTGTCATCTCCAAGTTCTGCGCAGTGATTGAACGGTTCTTCCGAAACAAGCTGCCCAGACGAGTCGACTTGCCCCGGACGTTTTCTTTCGTGAGCCACATGAGGATGCCAAAGCCAAACAGGAAGCCAGCAACCTTCAGCACAGTCAGCGGTACGAAATGCATGACAAATAGATCTAAACACAACCACAGGTGGTGCACGCTACCCCTCGAAAATCAAAGTTCAATGCAGGCTCGAATGGCTGATGCCCACGCCCCGAAGCTGAAAGGCTTGAAGGGCGAATGAAGACGTGTCCAAAAGTGAACCTGTCGAAGAACACACGAGGGGTGGAATGTTTCACAATGTTTCACTGTGCGTCAAGTGAGTCCAGCATCTCATGCGATCGTCCAATACAGCGCTAGTTGCCACAGGTTGAACTTCCAAGCACTGTAGACGAAAGTCCCCGGTGTCCACTTGGAATGCTTCGCGCTGTTTTCAAGTTAGCAGTAAGCATGGTTTGACACAATCAAGCTGGCCCTGTCCTACACTTGCCATTTCCTTTTGGCAAATGAATGACGCAAATAACCCTTTGATGTATGAACATGCCAAGGGAGGCGAAGCTCTTCTCAATTTCATGGTGGAAATCAAGCTCTTCTCAACTTGATAACCAGCTCAGGGTCTCGAGGGCAAGACCCGCATGTTGGTCAATATGGTGGTTGTCTGCATTTTGTCGCCTCATAACATCTCAACATCATCATCGGGTTCATAACATCATGTTCTTCTCGTTGTGACTCCGTGGCCGCACTGAAAACGCACACACACAGCGCACAAGGTGAAGAAGACCGAAGGGCGTGATGACGCTGATTTTCCATGATTTAAATGAGATCTCATTTTGAATAGTCTGACAAATGGTTTACATTGCAAAGCACAAATGAATTGTGAAACCCAGTGGAAGTGCAATCACGAGGCAGTCTTCGATGCACCAAAAATATGGAAAAAACTCACACTTCAGTCAGACGGACAATCCTGCGGACGTGCAAAACACACATCCGGAAACCCACCCGCCGCGGTGTTTGTGTCTGGGGTTGGCATAGGCCACTGTGAGATATAGAACACGGCAAGTACGGCAAGTATTTTTGAGCCATTCCCTGGCAGCATGGGCTTGTGGGCATTCTTGGCATGGGGCTTCCAAGTGGGCTTTCTCACACTCGCCCAAGCCTTCGTGAAACTTTCGTCAATGTCACGAGCTCAGCTGATTTCCATGGCTCAAATGTTGTTGTTCCTGAAAAACGTGTCGTTTTCACCAACTGAAGGCTTACAACATGAAAGGCTCTCCATGACGAAGGACAAATCAATTACCATATGCCAGCACCTCCAAGGAACAACAAGTACAAAACCGCTGCAAACCTGACAATACGAAGCAACATCAAAAGGGTCACATACATACAGCATCAGCAACCCATGGAACATGAAGGCATGACTCTGGCAAAGCAGGTGAATATGACTGTGGCAAAACGGGTAAGTTGTTTCTCGCTGTCACTGTTAAATGGTTGCCGTTGTGATGTTGGTAGACGCAAGACTCGTGCTGGAGAGCATCCACCAATAGCCCAGCAGAAAAGCAACGCCACCACTTCAGGTTCCAAACCCAAGACACCAGTACCACTTCTGTTGCTGATACTACCCCTCGTACTCCTACTCCTACTTCTTCCCGTACTTATCGTACTTCTACTACAACCACTGCTGCGGCTCTTGCTACAATGTCCACAGAGCACATACTAACTACTACTTCACTGCTTCTAGGTATTCTTGTCGCTACCATGCGCAGCACACTTGAAGCACATTTCGGTGCAAGTGGGTGCGGACGTTGTTGTATTGTATGACAAGCTGACAACGCACAAAGCACAAACAAAAAAGAACAAACCAATATGGCAGTGCATTGCAGTTGGTTCGGGAACGCAAGTGATCAAGGTTGCTTTTATTTGTTGGGTAGCCCTTGGTATGCTCAGGCATACGGGCTTAACAGGCGTTTAGAGGCAGGGGTTTAGTCAGGGTAGTCACGGGCATCACGCAGGTCAGAAGGTGGGCTAAACAGCCATGAAAATCAACCCAAGATGGGTGTCAATGACCTGTCGAAAGGCTCATAAGCGGGGTTTAGCCACGCAAAATTCCAGCAAAGCAAGGGGTTTACAATTCCGTTTTTTGATCCGAATAATGGGCTGTGGCCACCTCGTCAACAGCAACTGAAATCAAAAAATTACAAAAAGTGCGCCAATTTGAACAGGTGGTAGGGAATAGGCCTGGGACTCAAGAAAGACCCTGGGAAGTCATGATTAGAACAAAGCGGAATAAGTCAGGAACATTGTTGAAACAAAGCAGGAATTGATGTCGGGAATGGGTCGGAAATAGGTCGGGGCCCCAAGAAAGACCCTGCGAAGTCATGGTTGGAACAAAGCCGGAATAGGTCGGGGATAGGTCGGAATAGGTCGGGGCCCGAAGAAAGACCCTGTGAAGTCATGCTTGGAACACAGCCGGATTAGGTCCGGAATGGGTCGGGAATAGGTCGGGGCCCTAAGACCCTGTGAAGTCATGGTTGGAACAGGCAGGAATAGGTCGGAATTAGATCGGGAACCCAATCACGGCAGGATATAGGCATACTGGCCAGAGCTAATGACAATTAACATCATCAGGGTATGCTTAGGACCAATGTAGTATAGGGTTCCCGACCTATTCCCGACCTATTTCTGCTTTGTTCCAACCATGACTTCACATGCTACTTCCCTGAGGAGCAAAATGCATCCTGTCAGCGTCAGCCCGGGCACAATGCTGTTTTCCGACCAACACATCGTTTCAACCACACGGAATGTCAGCACGACGAATCAATATTTACAAACAAAAAGTTAAGAAGGCGGTGCATCTTGGAACCCACGAACCCCACTCAACAGGCTTGGCTTCACATGATCAAACCTGCTGATGCGATAAAAGGTTTGGTTGTCCCGCGCGTGCAAGTGAATTTTTGATTCATTTATCCCACCCGTGGCAATCAAAAGATCTTACCCCTTTAAGTTTAAGCTAGCAATTGTGTATGTTTGCGCCGCCTGACCCTAGTGAAGCGTCAATCTATATAGAAGCAACACAATCACTTCAGCGAGCCGCTTTTGACACCAGTGACCCCCGTATCACGCAAGCATTTTGCGCGTTCAGCCCCTGCAAAACATCAGCTCCAGCAAGTGAGAAGACACACATGTGACCTGGCATTGATGTGTTTTTATGCTGCCTTGACCCTGGCGAAGTGCAATCTCGGAACCAACAAATCCCATTCAGCAAGCCTAATTACAGTGAAATATCTCCAACTTCCTTGCGACACACCCTGCAACACCCTAGCGGGCCAACTGCGTAAGCATGCCCAAAGTAGCTAAGGCTATTTTCGGCTATACAGTGCCTAAGCATACCAACATTTACCCAATTTATTTGTTTGACAACAATGGACCGCTATCATAACATAACATCAGATTTGATATTTTGTCACACTGTTCTTCGCAAATAATATGGAAGGGTGCTATGGTGTTTGGAAGTTTTGCTTGCGAGCAACAAGTCCAATGGAGCAATGCACATGGGCCAACCAAAAGCACTTGTAGTTGAATTTTCGGAGACCTGCACAGCTTGCGCCAGATCGATAAGTCCATATCAAACCATGTTTTCAAGTGCGACAGGGTTCTTACCAGCGCCACCCGATCGAAAGGAGACTGACGGGAGCGGTTACAAAGAAAGCGCGCAATCGGAGTCGTAGAAGCACATTCATCATCTCTATCATCAAAGCGCTCACGTGCGCTCATGCAAGAAACAGGTAGAAAGCCAGAAGAGAGGAACTACCAAACAAAAATGAACATCGTTGGCGGCCACACGTGCAGCAAGGTGCGAAGGCACAACGTGAAGAGACAGTCGTGGCAAATCAAGGCGGGAAGGCGAGGTTCTGCTTGAGAGTCAAACATGGCAGGCAGCAGATTTCTTTGTAACAGCACTTTGCTTGCGCAACCGATCGGATCGACCATTTTTTGATGAATCGATGCGTCAATCTTCCTCCTTTCCACATTTTATGACTGGAGACATGCTGTAGATGCTGGATGACTCTGTGCGAATGGCGATTTTGCCAATCCCTTGCCGTCCCTTTCAGTCTATGCACCAAGACTTGACAGCTGTTGAACTACAGAAATTAGTCTGTTGCACCAAAAAAGTGCTACCATCCCTTCAAAGGCCACTGTTTTCGAAGGCATTGCGCCAATAAGAAAAACATGAAAATTCAGACACGCAATGCGAAGGAGGTTGGTAGGAAAAAACAGCAAAGGCATGCCCCACCTGTGATGGCTTTCTCTTCACTACGAGGTAAAAAGTATCTTCTCGAAGTGGTGGCAAGAATGTGGTGAGCAACCTTCGCTCCTCAAAAGGCTGGCGAAAATGGAAAGATTACAGCCACAAACATGCGAAACGAGAAAATAGGGCTGAACTTTTGGGGCCCGGCTGGAACTGAGTACCCCGATTCGGTTCTACCTTCTGCGAACCAGGAGGTGGTTCTTAGAACTATGAAAAAGGGCTCTGCAAAGGGCCAAAACAGGTTCTGCGGACCCTCTCCGAACCTCATTGGAGTTCTGAGTGGTTCTTAGTACCCCCCTGGACACGCCCTGGTTCTCAACTACGCCCCAAAAGTGAGCCCTGAGAAAAGGATTGAAAGGAATGAAAAACAAGAGTTCCAGCGCAACCTGTGCCAAGTGCATGTGTATTAAATTGTTGTGAGTTGTGTTCAAGCAATGAGCAGGTTGACTTTTGCTTCTGGTCAATTGCAGGGCTCCGGAGTTATCCACAGATCCGCGATGCACACATCGTAGTTCCCCACCGCCACATCGTACACGCAAGCAGAGTAGCCCCCACTGGTGTCGTTGGTTATAGCAACCGATTGATTGGTATAACCGGAAAGGGTCACATTGAGGGAAATGTCTGGGTCGAACAAGTTCAAGACGTGCTGAAAAAAGTTGTATTCAGGTCCTGAGCTTGAAACGTCAAGAAACGCGCTTAAAGCACAACAGAAAGTAACAGAAGCACCAATGCTTTGCATTGCTTTGCGGGATTTCTTTGAGCGCCGAGGCTCCCCTGAACTCCGACTGCTTTTCGTCGATGCCCTGCTCGTGCACGACCCATGGCGGCCACGCCAACACTGCGCCAGCTACCACATTTCCAGCATGTACTTTGAAGAGGTCGTCGTCTGAGTAAGAGTTGATGTTGCCGCACGTCTCGTAACTGTAGAATACCTCTGTCCCTGTCACATCTGACCTTGAGTGCGAAAGTGTTTGCACACAAGTCAGAGTAAGGTCCTAAAGCTTGTTGAATCAACGGACGCAATAGCCACAGCTATGAGCAATTCCCCCAGTGCTTTGGGACAAATCCTTCAACACCCTACTGCATGACAAGCGCGGCCATGGCTTGGCCCCATTTCCCCAACTCACCCAAGGCAGCCGGGTGAAAACTGGGTGGTCACCGAAACACCGATCAATGCGTTTGAAAAGTCGCGCACGTTTTGGCCGCAAGTCTGTCCCACAGGCCCACAGACTACGGGACATGTTGTTTCTTGGAAAGCTCCAAAAGTATTGGGCCTCAGAAAAATTGCTTCGCTATGAAAGCCTTAGCCTTGCCACACAACAAAGAAACAATCTTGATGTGGAGAATGGATGCGATCCGTCTCCGTGTCATAGAACACACAAAATGCCACGCGGCTTATCTAACGTACCGGTGAGATGCAGCCACGGGGCTGGAGCCAAGCAAACCCATGAATGGTGATCAAACAAAACACAAATTTAGCAGGCTTGAGCTATGTGGGAGAAAAAACTAAACACCAGTCCTATTTTGCCCAAGTTGCAAAGGGTTGCTGCGAACATGCGGTCTGGAGCGACAGTGTGGAGATGCCCGGCTACCTGGCTTGTCACCCTCATCTTTGCATTTCTCGTCATTTTGTCGGCACAACTTCACGTCCACGTAGCACCAAGATTTACTGCAAAAACTCAGCGCATTTCGCGCGCAACCAAGATTGCGGTGCCCTACCTAGGTCGCGCAAGAGACCCAGAGACACCCACTGGCTTTTTAGCATCTTAGGGGTGTGAACCATTAAGGTCTTGCAAAAGATTAGCATGGCCCCTGCACATAATGTCGAAGCCCAATTGGTCAATTGGGAGGGAATAAAAACATGTTTTTGCAAAATTGCTTCCACACCATCAATTTAGGAAAGAAACTGCCCAGGGTGCGTTTCTTGAAAGATCTGTCATGATTTGCCTATGTTTTCTATTGTTCTGCCATTGCTGCCATTGCTGCCCCGCAAGATCCGTGCTTAACTGCTACGACTACCTCCCAATACTACCGCTGCTACTGCTCCTCCTGCTACTACTGCTACCACTAGCACTAGCACTAGCACTAGCACTAGCACTAGCACTACCACCACTACTACTACTACTACCACTACCACTACCACTACTGCCACTACTGCTGCTACTACTACTACCACTACCACTACTGCCACTGCTATTACTACTGCTACTCCTATACTACTCCTACTCCTACTCCTAATCCCACTCCCACTGCAACTCCCACTCCCACTCCCACTACGACTACTACTATACTACTACTACTACTACTACTACTACTACTACTACTACTTCTACGACGACTACTACGACGACTACGACTACGACTACGACTATATACGACTACGACTACGACTACGAAGACTACTACTACTACTACTACCACTACCACTACCACTACCACTACTACTACTACTACTACTACTACTCCTGCTACTACTACTCCTGCTACTACTACTCCTGCTACTACTACTACTACTACTGCTACTACTACTACTACTACTACTACTATACACTTCTACTACTACTACTACTACTACTACTACTACTACTACTACTACTACT